TGGCAGCACAGACTCTCCATGCCCTCCGAGTACAACACCGCCCTAGACTTGTGGTCCGTCCCATCATTTAGAGCTTTCAAGAAAGTTTCATTCTACAGGCATGACTGACTAAGTCACGGGCCATTGGTGATCAACAGCACCTCCCTCCTGCCTGGCTTTGAGGTGCATGGCTGAAATCTAAGTTCCTAATCAAGACTTGATTTTTCTATACCAACCCTCATTCTGAAGCTGTCTGACAGCCTGACAGCAGACTCACCTCAGGAGAACAAATAATATTCCTATCACTTGACTCACTCAGGATGTTCTAAGGATTTGAGGAACTCTGCTCCTGGAAGTCAATACAAACCCCAAGTAGCCCCCTTTCTATGCTTCAAGGACACCTTTTGTCAAGAAGAGATAATGTGTCCCCAAACATTCCTAACAGCACAATCCCAAAATGCAGAGCAAAATTCTGTAGCATGAATCTTAAAGACTCGTATTAGTAAAAACAAACCTGGACCCAGGTATTGGGGTGAACGCTGGAAGATCAGAGAAGCAGAACAAGCCACAGCTTCCTCACCTCAACAGTTCCTCAGCTGATCCTGTTTCCTCAGACTGGAAGCCTCTCAGTCCTCATCCAGAATGAATCTCAGCTGAACTGTTGCTCAGAGTCTAAAAGCTTAACCAGGCTATAGTTCTGCAACCTCACACCTTAAATACCTTTCTGCCTCCTGCCATTACTTCCTGGGATTAAAGGCGTGAGTCACCATGCTTGGTTGTTTCCAGTGTGGCCTTGAACTCACAGAGATCCAGGCGGATCTCTGCCTCTGGAATGCCAGGATTAAAGGTGTGTGGTACCACTGTCTAACCTCTATGTTTAATATTGTGGCTGTTCTATTCTCTGACCCCAGATAAGTTTATTAGAGTGTACAATATTTTGGGGAACACAATACCACCACAAAAATCATCAGAATCAAAGAGGGAAACAGATGACTGGACATAATAATATCTCACTTTCAATAACAGATTTAACAACCAGACATAAGATCAACAAAGAAGTAGAAGATTTAAACAGCTATGTAAACCAGCAAGACTAGTGTGTATCCATGGAGGCAGTAACTCCTCAGTAACAACAGACCATGAAGCCTTCTCAAGGGTATGCAGGACATCATCCAGGCAGGTCCTGAGTTAGCCAAGGAGGCAAAAGTATCAAAAGATATAAGGAAATTTAAATCAAATAAGGCATAGTCTTTAGAATTAAATTTGGGGGACTCATGAGAGGTGAAAAATGAAACATGTAACATACTCTTAACTAACCACTAGATCACAGAAGAAATTATAAGGCAATATTCAATGGCTGCACCCATCATATTCTCATGTACCTCAGCAGTGAGGTGCATGGCCAGAACTCTGATGTATAGTGTTGCCATTAGTCTGCAAAGCTATCTGAAAAATGCAGCTTATGTTACTGTTGGGAAGCAAAGCAATAGAAATAGGAAGAGGTATATCAATCACCCTCTGCCACGTAGGATTTTGTGGAGAGCGAATACAATAACACGTAGCAAGACCTTTGCCATTTATGATGACAAAGGTGAGTCACTGCTGCTGCTCATCTGGTCAGGGTGGCCGACATTCCAGCTAGCTCCAAGGCTGACTCAACCTCTAATTGAACAAACATTAAAAAATAGTTTGTTGTATTGATTTCAACATTTGCTGGCTACCATTTCAACCTCAATTCAAGCACAGGAGCATGTTTCTCCACACGGCTGATGAGAATGTGCCTTTCTGAGAGCAAAGGACTTCAATGGTGGGAACTGCCAGACTACAAAAGAACTTTCACAACCCTTAAGTGCTCTCGCTCTGTGTCAGATGGCCTTGCCTTGACTGAACATAGTTCCTCATTGTCCTGGAAGATTTTAAGTCTTTTTATGCTAAAGAGAAACAGTAAATATAGCTGGCAGAGGACTGAATGAAAGTCCTCAGCCTTGATTTATAAATGCAGACAAAACATGCCTGGTGATACACGCCTATAGTCCCAGCACTCGGGAGGCAGAGGAAGGTGAGTTCAAGGTCATTGTGGGCTACCTAGCAAGAACCTGTGTCAAATATATATATATATAAATTAAAATTCAGGCAGGGATTTTGAAAGTGTGCAGTCTTATCTTGGGCCTATTCCGTAAGATAGATACACAATAGCCTTCTCCAAATCTGGCATTCGTGCAGCTCAGCTCTCAGAGGAAGCAAGAAACAGCTTGTGTGACGTCAGAGTGTAAAACTATTTCTATATATTGGAAAATTCAATACTTTCACATACTCCCCTCCAGGGTTTCCCATTAAGGTATCCTTATAAAACATAGCATGTCTCAGAATATCCTTGGTATTTGGCCCAGTTCATTCACCACAACTGAGAAATTTCTTCGGCATTCTATTTTATTGTAAAATTTTACATATCTTTAAAATATTGCTGTGCTAGTCTTTATAATAAAATTCCTTCTTTTTTCCCCTCCCTTCCCGCCCCCCTCTGCCACTGTATTACAGGTAGGTATCTTTCTCCCTCACTCTCCACCTTATTTTTTTGAGACAGAGTCTCTCACTGAACTTGAAACTCATTGATTTGGCTAGAATGGCTAGACCACGAACTCCAGGGACCCACTTGTCTCTGCTCCCCCAGTGCTGGGATTACAGGGGTTATGGATGAGTGCCCCCATATCTGGCTTCTTTGTAGGTGCTGGGGTTCAAACTTAGGTCCTCACGGTGGCCACTTTACCAACTGGACCAACTCCCTACCTATCCCGCTTTAATTTACATGACTCCATATAATAAAGATGTTCTGGGAAAATCAGCGTCTACCACTTCCAGCTACGGTCTCACACCACCCTGCATGCCCCCCTGGAGAAGTCTGGGATAGTGCAATGCCAGAATCTTGCTTTCCAGATCCTCACCTGATGCAAAGCCATTTTAAAAAAAAAACGCTGGGAAAGTGTGCCTGAGGACACTGTTATGGGCAGCTTCTCAGAGCTCACTGCTAATTATTGGGCTCAGCTCATCTGCTGTATTTTGTTGACTCACGTATCCCATGGTGCTTGGAACCATGGTGAGCACATTGGAGGTTTCTACCGACATTTGTTGGATGACTAATATTGTCCCGGGATCTTGTTTATGAAATCTATTGTTCTAATAAATAATGTATCCCAAAATAAAATATTGAACAGGAGCTATTGGAGGAGGCGGGGGGGGGGGGTTAGTGCTAGCATGTACATACAGCTAGCTCATCATTTGTGGAACTGGAAAATGGGCAGGCAGCATGCTGCACTCGCTCTGCTCTTGACTGTGAGGATTGGGGGATCAGCTGCCTCGAGCTCTCTCTGAATTCTCTTCTGTGATGGGCTGTAACCTGGAATTCCACACACACACTCGTGGCTTAAAGACTCATCATTTGTGGCTGACAAGATGCTCGTTGGGTAAAGTCACTTGTGCAGGCCCGGTGGCCTGAGTTCCACCCCCAGAATGTGCAGTAGAATGAGAGAACAAAATCCTTAAAGTTGTCCTCTGAACTCCACACATGTGGTGGCACCCATGCACTCACAGTCATATGCAAACATTCACACACACACACACACACACACACACACACACACACACACACACAGGATAAATAAAAATTTCTAAAGAAAAGCAAGGGATGTAAGATCCAGTGATATCTGTCTAAAATGAATGCTCACTCCTCTAGGCCTCGCTGACTTTCCTCACAGGAGGAAACCATTTCCTCCACGGCCAGGGATACCAAAGAGATGAGCTCTGTTTCTGGGAGAAGTAAAATGATTATTTACCTAGCTTGATCCAAAAGGGTGTGGCATTGGAGCATCTCTCACCTCAGTGTGTCTACCTGGGGCTTTCCTCATTGCTCTGTGATGTCCAGCCCAGTGTAGACGCTGCTAACCCTGTGTGAGGATTACAGGGAGCTGAACTGTGTACATCCTAACTGACATCTCTTCCAAATGCAAAACACACACCAGACTTTGAGGGCTTTGCACAAAAAGAACAATGTAAATATCGATATTTTCATATTGGTTTTATGATGAAAGAACAACATGGCCTTGTATTGTTCACATTTGTCCACTCTTTTCTGAAAAGTGAACTGGGCCCAACTAGCATCTAGAATTTCTGAATTTGATAGAAAACAATAAGTCATTTCAGGTTAATCCATTGACAAATAGCCTCTGGAAGGATTTTGAAAGGATCATAAGCAAATGAACTTTTCATAAATTAAATATATAAATAAGTATATAGTATCCAACAGTCTAACAGACATGTCACTGTGACTGTTTTAGGGGAGAGCAGAGGATACGAGAATTAATCTAAAAGGAAATAAACTAAGACTCTATATTCATTACTTTTCTCATTATTACAACAAAATGTATGAGAAATGCAGCTTAAGGCAGGAAGAGTTTCTTCTAGCTCAAAGTTCAAGGCTATAGCCCACGTGACCCGGAAGGCATGGCAACAGGAGCATGAGGCATGCTGAAGTCGGAAGGAGAGGAAAAGAACGATTGCTCAGTTTGCTTTCTCTTTTTACTCGGTCCTGGACAGAGCTTGTGGAGTGGTCAAAACCCATTCCGGATTCAGTTAAACCAGTCCCGAAACGCCTTCACAGATACGCCCAGAGGTTCTTCACCTCAGTGAGTCTAGAGCTGGCCAAGTTGACAGTCAATATGAGCCGTCACAGGACCCTTGCACAAAATGAAAATGGTAGCATGTCATAAACTGAGGTTTGTCTAACTTTTTCTGCATGTGAGGTCCCAGAAATGAAGTTATCAATTTATAAAAATCAGTGTAGCTAGAGTTTTCCTGCCTGGCCCACAGTCAGGACAAATCTCTGTCATCTGCCAGTCCCACAGCCACTCAGACCCAACCAAGTAAACACAGAGACTTATATTGTTTAAACTGTTTGGCCTAATGGCTTAGGCTTCTAGCTATCTAGTTCTTACATCTTAAATGAATCCATTTCTATAAATCTATACCTTGCCACATGGCTCATGGCTTAACGGCATCTTCACATGCTGCTTGTCATGGCAGCGGCTGGCAGTGTCTCCCCCCACTCAGCCTTCCACTTCCCAGAATTCTCCTCTCCCCTTGTCCCGCCTATACTTCCTGCCTAGCCACTGGCCAATCAGTGTTTTATTTATTGACCAATCAGAGCAATTTGCCATACAGACCATCCCACAGCAAATCAGTGGGCCGGATGGGCTCGGGGTAAGGGACAGAAAGCTGGAAGCAGAGATCCAAGACTGGGAGCACCAGGAGAGACAAAATGGGTCAGGAAGATGACAGGCACTCTCGTCTTCTACAAGGTTGCAGATGATGAGCCTGAAGACCAGGCTAACACTTGTTTCACCTGGGGCCACAGGCTCCAGACATTCAGTCCTGGTCTTTGTTCATGAAACAGAGACACAAAAAAATCTTTCTCTGACTTTACATAATGAGACATCTCTGTGAGTTCGAGGCCAGCCTGGGCTACCAAGTGAGTCCCAGGAAAGGCGCAAAGCTACACAGAGAAACCCTGTCTCGAAAAACCAAAAAAAAAAAAAAAATGAACTTTATTTCACTGGTGGTACTGACCAGAACAAACAGCAATAAAAAGGAATGATTAAAACCACGTCAATCACATATAAATATACCTGAGAGCGTACAGTGTGTACACAGCCCCCACCCCACCCCATCAGCTGTTACTCCAGGCACCTAATCCACTAACATTTTCTGTTGGCACTGAAACCATCAGAAGGTGACCATCTAAGCAGCCACTGACTTGCTTCAGAGTCTGGATGAAGGAGGTAGGTAGTCTCATCAGCACCATCTGCTAAGAATTTGCTCATTTGCAAGTTAACAAAAAAAGCAGTAAGATTACGTTGACAGTTTTGTTCTGATGTCTCGTGTTGTGAGTGACAGTACATCTTCCCAAAATTCACACCTTTAAGTCCTAACCCCCAGTGCCTAAGAACATGACCTTATTTGGAAACTGACTCTTTGCTGATGTGATTACATGAGGCCAAACCGCAGTAGAGTAACAGAAATCATTATTTTTTTAAGGAAATCTGGACACAGAACACACAGAGAGAGAAAGAGAGAGAGAGAGAGAGAGAGAGAGAGAGAGAGAGAGAGAGAGAGAATGTGATAATGGAGGAGGCAGTAGAGATGACAATTCCACAAGCCAAGGACTCTAAAAATTGACAGTGAGCCACTGGGCACTGGGAGAGATGCCCACGGAGTACATTCTTCCTCAATGTCCTCAGAAGGGACAGACCCTGCCAACCCTGATCTCTGAACTCTGAAAGGCATGTGAAAATACATTCATTTGTCAAGCCGCCGAGTCCATGATCCTTTATTACACTCTCCATAGAAAATGAATATCAGCCCGTAACTTAAGCTAGTGAATAACAAAAACTACCTTACACTGACAGTGAGATGTTGTAGGCTCTGCTTACAAACGAAGTCAGAAAATAGCTTGGCTCCATCAGCTACGAAGCTGAGAGAATATTGCACAACCTTCAGCACCTCGGTCTTTTCAACAGTAAAGTGGGTGTAACAATCATCTCACCTTGTAGAATGAAATTAGCTGATACTGCTCTAAACACACTGCCTGGCATATCCTCTGCACTCAAAAAATACTAGCTATTCTTGCTGACTAGGTACATTTTCGGTTATAAAACACTTTCTTGTATTTATTTCAATTTTCTTCAGATTCTGAGAGCAATGTGTTGTTACTTACATTTTATAGCTGGATTGTGAAGCTCACAGATTTAAAGCTGGGTAGAACTGAGATCTGGATGTTGGGGTCCCATCCGATCCACCTCCTATTTGTGTAACTTTGAACATGTTTTTCTAACCCCTTCCACATGCCTGTTCTTCTGGACAAGATCTACACAGGGAACCCATAATCACAGGGGTCATTAGGCGCCTGTGTTAGAGCAATGCACTATGAGGAAGACTGGCCAGCATTTTTTGTCTTGAAGATAAAGGAAAGAAGCCAGGTGCCAATGGATGGAGTCTGGCCCTAGAAGCTGGAAAGGGGAAGCAAACTGGTTCTTTTGGAATTCTGAAGTCTGCAGAAAGGAAACGAGTTTCCCCTAAGAAATTGTACTATTACAGGACCAGCTTTGCATTCCTGACTTTCACAACAGTTAGATGACAAATCTGCAATGTTTAAGCCACTAAGTTGGTGACAATTTGCTATAATTTGCTACAATGCAAACTAATACATGCCTACTCATTGCTACATCTACACACCTCCACAAAGGACTTCTTCGTCCCCTCCCTCCCTCCCTCCCTCCCTCCC